CTCTCCCCGCGGCGCCCGCGCAATGGCGCCGGCCCGGCCCCGGCTCCGGCTCCGGCTCGGGCTCCGGCTCGGCTTAGAACGGCCGCGGCGGCAGCGGCGCCCGTGACGGATCAATCACGCCGAGAAGGGGTGGGAGCCAGCTGAGTGCGGGAGGCGGGGAGCGAGCGAGCAAACGCCGAGAGGGGGGCCGGCGTCTCCGCGCGCGCCTCTCTCCCGCACAGCCGCGCCGAACCGGGCCGCCTCCGTCCGCCCCCGTGCGCGCTCTGAGCCGCTCTCCCGCCGGGAGCAGCTCGGCTGCAGCCCCTGGAGCCCGGCCGGGGGAGGGAGGGCGGCAGGAAACGCGGGAGGCGAAGGCGAGGCTGCTCAGCGGCGGCTCGGGCCGCCTCCGGGGACGGGGACGGGCCGTGCGCGTCGGGGGAGGGGGAGGCGCTGCGGCGGCAGCGGGGAGGGCCGCCTTCCCAGCACACGCACACACGCGCCCCTGGCCCTCCGCGGCGCGGGCTGCCGCTGCCGGCGAAGCGCTGGGAACCAGAGCGCCCACGGACAGCGATCGGGAAACGAGGAGTGGCAGCCGCCGCTTCGCCGAGCGCATCCGGCAGCTCCTGCGCTGTGATTTGGGACTGCTTCTCCGAGGTCCAGCTGGGAAGGTCTGGGCGGCGAGCGCGCCACGGAGTCGTCCTAGAGGCACCTGCAGCCTACACTCTCCAGCTCTGCGCGGGTGCCTGGGGGTCCAGCCCGAAGGGGCGGCCGAAGACTCTGCGGGCGCTTGAACACCCCCTTGGTGCTCGGGTGTCCCACTGGCCCTTAGGGCTTTGGATGAGGGCCCCTCGCTTCCCCACCAGACGGAGCAGCTGTGCTTTGCCAAACCCGAGCAAGGCTGGAGTGCTCACCTTGCGTGTGCTACCGCCCCCTCCAGGCATTTGACCTCTCCATGTCCCCACTCCCAAAGGGCTCCGCCCTAACATTCTCCCCGGGTGGGAGCACGTCCTCAGGCAAGAGCGCGTTCGTGTTCCGCGCTTCGCACTCCACACGACTTAGCCCACTCTGCCAGGTCGCACTGGCTGCCCTGGTTACCCTTAAGCAAAGCAGTCCTGTGATCTGACCTAGGGCCTTGGTCCCCCTGTGCCTCCCCATGATGGAAGAATAGGGTTCGTGGTCATTAAAATATAAAATCCCAAGGGGTGATTAATGAGGGGGACACAATAGGACGTCAAATCAGAAAACACTCTTGACCTTGAACCAACGTGATATTGACGACCTTGTAACAAGGTTGGGAATTTAACCTTCACGGAACGCTTACTACATGTCTTATAATGAATGTAATTCTCTCAACAGCGCTCTAAATGGAATACTGCGTTTGCCTACACACTTTACAGGCACTGGGGCTCAGAGAGGTTCTACAGCTTGTCAAAGTACACAGAGCTACTCAGGGAGGACTGGAACCCAGAACCAGCAGGAGTTCTCTACAAAGTGCAGTGGGAACAAAGATGGGAAACAGCTCCTCTGACAGTCAGGAGGGGCACTGGCCTGTCTCTGGGTTGATCTGAACCTCGTTCCCCTAAGGCATGTGCTGAAGGAGTTAGGTCAGACTATGTCCGCAAACCTGCTCTCCTGGAGTGAGGCAGGGGCAGCCCTGAATCACAGGCTAGGTTCTCAGGAAGCAGGAAGGAGAAAGGAAGCTGAGCCCAACTCCTGGAGAGTACCTTGGACAGCTCTGGGGAAACCTAGCCAAATTCTCCCTGCCCCAATTCCTCTTTCTAGGCTTAAGCAGACACCTCCTCGCTGGCTCCACTCAGGGTTTTCTCCTCCTCAAGTTGGAGGGTTTGCCTGGACAGAGCTCACCTGAACATCTCCACCAAAAAAAAAAAAAAAAGGTCCAGAGGACAATGTAATCCCCAGATGCCCGATCAGCTGGTGTCTCACTTGACATCACAGACATTCTCTAGTGATGGGTTTCTGGCATCTGCCATTCCTCAGTTTCTCAGCTCAGGTTTCTGGATGAGTATTTTCACTTTTTTTTTTCTTTTTTCCCTTAGTCATTTGCGTTTTCCTTGTAAGCTGTGCCAATATGGAGTATCCACTGACACCTACATCTGGGAATAAGTTGAAAGCTGGGATAACTTTGCTTGACATTTACTAAGTGATTGTGGCCCTTCCTGGCAACCTGCCTTTCAGGCCCTCTGTCTCCACTTATGGGGTGACCTGGCCCCAAGACATGGAACCAGCCCTGGAGCACCAGACTCCTTCTCCATCAGCCTGGCTTCAGGCCAGGCTCTGATGTCATGCCCCGCTTCTGAGTCTGGGCATCCCTCTGGTTCCCAGCTCCTACCTGGCCTGTGTTCCAGTTTGAGTAACTGGATCCCTGGCGTGCTTCCTGGCTCTGAATTCCTGCCTCGGTCACTAGCCCTGAGTTCATGTTCATCTAGAGCTGAAGTCTAGCCTTTCGCTTTAGAATAATCATTCATTCCTTCAACCAATGTTTCACAGTGTTTACTATGTGCTGGGTGGGCACTGTTCTAGGAACTAAGCACAGAGGAATAAACAAGCCAAACTAAAATTCTGCTTTCATAAAATTGACATTCTAGTGAAGAAAGAGACGATAAATAGAAATAAGAAGTAGATATTTTAGTGTGTCAGCTTATGAAAAGAGCTATGAACAATAAAGCAGGAGAGAGGATTGAGACTGACAGGGTGGGGCTGCAATTTGAAATGGGGAGGTCACAGAAGGGCACACTGAGGTATGACTTTTCAGCAAAGGCCTAAAGGAAGTAAATAAGGAGGCCTAATGAGGTAAGTAAATAAGACACCAAAATGGCGTTCCAGGTAGAGGAACAGCAAGGGCAGAGGCTCTGAGACAGAAATGTGCCTGGCGTGTTCAAGGAATGGCCAGGGAGCCAGCGTGGCTGGAGTGGAGTGAGCAAGGGGAAAAGCAGTAGCCCCCAAGGTCAAAGGCAGGCAGTATCAGGTAGGACCTAGGCAGTGTGAGGACTTTGGCTTGCACATGACAAGCTGGGAACCACTGGAGGATACTGAATGGAGCAGCGACATGATCTAATACATTTTAACAGGATCACTCCAGCTGCCAAGTGAAGAATCGTTGGTACAGGAGGAAGGTGGAGGCAGGAAAACCGATTAGAAGGTTATTACAATAAGTCAGATATGGTGACAAGAACCAGGTGCAGGCAGAGGAGGTGGTGAGAAGTGGCTAGGTTAATAATTGTTCTTCTTCTTAATAAAATGCATCGGCATATGTCAAGTCCCAGGGCTATGGTAAACACTGATCCTTATAAGATTATCTACCTTGCAAGAGATGTAGTAGGGATTTTAAAAAGCAATATGGTCACACCTAGAAAGTGATGAATGTCAGCCTTGGTTTATATAAGTTAAACTCTCATCTTCTTCCAAAACCCTGCCTCCTTAGCAATCCTTTCTCCCATGTCCTCTCCCTACACACCAGAACCAGAAGCCAGTCTCCAAGCTGCAGTTCAGAGGCTGGGGCTGTGGTGAGAGATGATACCTTTTCCCTTTTTTGGAGATTTTGGGGCTTCATGAGCCACTGGCTGCCTACCAGAAGAATACCCCATCCTTTTGAGCAGGATCCCTGCACCAGGAGGTTAACCAGGCCTCCTCTTGTTGTCTGTCCTCCTTCCACATTGGGCTGGACACCCTTTGCCACCCTGGTGCCAGCGGCTTGGATCTGCCCTCACAAAGCTTCCTCCTCCCAGGACTGGGTTCAGTTTCCAATGCCCTGATCCAGTCCGACCTGTTACCCACGCCTGTCTCTTCTCTAACTCCCATTAAAAAAAAAATCACAGGCTATCTTTACAAAAATCACCTGTGTATTTCTTATTTGTGTTTACATTGAAAAGTTTCTTTCAACCAAGTAGCTCAGTTGGGATTTTTTAAAAGTACATTGTTTGTTTTAATTTCTTTTTTTAATGGATAAGTTATGAATGATGGCTCAAAAAAAGATTAGTTGAGTGAATCTAAGCTGCTTTTTCCTTTTCACGAGGCATATTTTTTAGACCACAAAATTGGGTATCAGGCATCAAATGTGGTCTGGTGACACAGTCTGAGTAATAATAATAGCTACCATTTATTAAACACCTACCTACTCTGTGCCAGACATCTTGGTATGCATCATCTGAATCTTCATAACTGCCTGAAAAATAGGTGTTAGGATCCCAGTTTTGCAAATTGTAAGACTGAGGTCCAGATGGATTAAATGATGTGCCTAATGATACTCAGCAGAGGTAGTGACAGGGCCCAAATCCAGTTTATCTGGCCTCAATCCTGCACGCGCCTCTACTCCACATGCCTCTCCTTGAAGATGCCCTTACGTGACTGAGGAGGAAACAGCCTTAAAGAAGTAAAGAATGCTGCTGAGGGTCAATGCAGGAAAGCGGTAAAACAGCTTCGCCAGGGCCCCCGCTGAGTTAGAAATGCAGCTGGCTCTCCTTCTGGGTTATCAGGGGTGAGCGTCTGACTTGCAGAGAGTCTGTGACTAAACCCTTCAGGAGTCCATGCCAAGCCTGGGGTGGACCAGTAGAGCCTGGAGCCACCTCTCCCACCCATGCTCCTCATATGGTTAGAGAACAGTGGCAGGATGGCTCCATGTCGGCTGGACAGGTCATAAGTATATGAGGACAAGGGCCGGAAATTTAGCTTCCAACTGAGTAGTGTCCAGAGGGACACAGACTGGCAAAGCAGCCAAAAGCCCCTCTTGTTTACAGGTTTCAAAAACAGATCCTTTACAAAGGGGATCCTATATGGGCAAGAGGCACAGTTTAGGAACATAGCCTTAGAGGGGGAAGCGTCCTGTAAAGTCTGGTCCAATAACTCACCAAACCTTAGGGGTGGGTAATGGTGACTTGGAGTCACGTAGTCCTGGGTTCAAATACTGGCTTACCAATTATTAGTGCTGCAATTTTGGGTAAGTCACTTACCCGCCTGAGGTTCAGTTTCCACATCTGTAAAAGGGAAATAAATGATTCCTTTCACAACAACAACGTTATCGTGAGGATGAACTAATCATAACAACAGCTAATATGTATCGAGCCCTCACACGTGCCAGACACTGTTCCAAGCACTTTACATATAATTAACTCCCTTATTAAGTAAGATGATGCATATAAAGTACTTAATACAGTATTAGGCACTTATTCAGCATGCAATTCATAATGATACCACCGGAGATGGACAGATCGTGCCTCCTGAGGCTCCCACTCCATTATTTGATTGCTGGGGGTTTTCTACATTATTTCTTAGGCTCCACCAAAGTCAGCCTTCCCACAGCATTTACTCTGGACTCTAATCTGCTCCTGGGGTCCATGGTGCTTCCCCTCACCCATGGCGGCCCCTCATCAAAGACAGCACACAAGCACCTCCTCACTCCCACCCCCAACCAAACCTTCTCTTCCTCAGGAGAAGTGTCCCCAGATTCTTCAACCTTCCCTGGCCACCGATCTAGAATCTGCCCATGGCTTTCTTCAAAGGTGAACTGACCCAGAACTGACCACAAAATCCTCCACATGGACCAAGAAGCACGTAGAATAGGAAGGCTATCCATTTGTGCTCAGGCCTCTGGATGGCTGTCCCTACTATCCTTGCAGTCCAGAGTTTACTTGCACCATGCTAACAGCCACATCACGCCTTTGGATCATAGAAAGCTTGTGGTTCTCTGAGACTCCCAGGTTTGTTTTCTGTGGGGGTGTTGTGCTGTTTCGAATGAACAGCAAGCCAGATGTCTCTGATCCTATTTATTGGCAGTTTAATTTGGGGGCCTATGGTAGGATTGAAGCATTCCATTTGTGATTATGCATCAATCTTTCAGTCTGTTGAGGGCATCTTCTAGCTTGGATCTGTTTTCTCTCATATTCACCATCTTTCTCAGTTAGTGCCATTCTTACTGGACAATCTGATTTTCTTTCTT